GAACATATAAACTGATCAGGCTTTAAGGGGAACATATGCATAGAGGGTAATTCTACAGCCACATCAATACAGTCCATCTACTAAATGTCACCTTAGCAGGTCAGGATTAGTTATATTTTATATCCATGTCATAAATGTAACAGCTAATAACACTGTGTTCATACCAGCAGTTAAATATCATTCCTTATTATTAAAGAAGTCCCATAGCTATGTGATAATGTCATTGGAAATTATTATTACAGTAGACAGGGACTTGCATGACCCCTGCTGGGTTGTCTTTTCCAAACTCAGTAAGTGAACCTTGTAATCTACAAAGTACTTTTGAGATATGAATAATTAAATTATTACGATCGTGAAAGTTGTTACAATAAGGCAGAAATTCTTATTTTCATTTCCTATCCTGTTCCCTGGAATAGTAACAAAAACATGCTGGATTCCACCTGTCATTTTTACTCTCTGTTGCAAGTTATTTGACTGAATGCAGAGAAATTAATAAGAAATCTTGTCACACTGTTGAAATGAGACAGCTCTCATTGAGTTCAAGAGGGACTTATTTTTAAAACTTAGGTATTTTCTTAAAGAATAATGTAACTGTTTAGTGAGAAAATACTTTGTCTAAACACAAGTTAAATGTGAAATGTAGGGCTATCTTATTTGATAAATCATATATATATTTGTATAATATATAATATACCATAATACACCATACATATATTTTATATGATATAGGTATTGTTTCATGAAGTACTTAGTAATAAAAGGAGGATTTCACCCATAATTTTTGAGGCATGCTGCCAAATGAGCAGCAATTCTCAGTTGTTTAAAATACCTGTTTACATTGGGTTGTTTAAATTTTTACCTGTATCTTAGCAGAACTCTGAAACATGGGGAGTAAGTTTTGACCTTACCCACAACAAATTCAGCAGAAGGSTGTCTGGATCCAGTAGAGATATTAGTTGGGACCAGAGAGAAGGTGAGAACTCATAGGGACTGTACAGCTTGTCCACGGCCAACTGGGGTAGACTCTGGGAGGCTGCAGTGAGCTAAAAAGCTGGAGCTGTGAAAACACGCAGTCAGAATATTCATCTTCCTTTCTTGCTCCCTCTCCAGAGTTTCCAAACCCCAAAAATTCTGTATCATGCAAGAGACCGCAATAGGTTTTTTTCCCTGTACAGGCCAGGAGATAAATTGAGGTGCACATCAGCAGCCCACCTTTACACTGGCAGAAAAGATAGCTGCTTCTGATGTTAGACACTGACTCCAGGTTTTGTGGCATAATGGGTAGATAGATCTATTTCCAGACATTTTCCTGTTTCCCCTTTGGGGAAGAGAAATTTACTGTCCTTATGCTCTACACATTTTAGTGTGACATGATCATTTCACTTGCCCCCCTCAAAGCACAGCAGATCTCTTTTACTGTGCCATCCATCTCCCTCTGAGAAGTAAAATATGGCTCTTAGCAAGATCAGGATACTGTATCCCTCAACAAGACTACTTCTAATGAAAATACAGCCCCTCAGGCCCTAGCAGTAGCAACATATGTACTGATATACAGATGATGTATTTCCTTGTTAGTTGCAAAAAGAATACGTGTAATTTACCTTAGGAAAATACAAAAGGAACCCACCCTGAAAGAGAAAAGTAGTTTTATTAATTTGGCATTTCTATCACTACTCCTTAGTAAAAATGTACATATTATTGTACATATACAGTTATGTATATTGTACATATACAGTTACCTAATGAAATTAAAAAAAACATCCCAATGGCTCTTAATAAAAATACAATTAAAGCAAGCCACTGTTTTTTCAAGTGCTAAGATCTTACAGGAAAAAGACTAAGGAATGACTACACCTAAATAAGGCTTTTACTGTTGAAAGCAACAGCTACATTAGAGGTTATACATCCATCAGCTGTAACTCTCATATTTGTGCAATAAAGACCTCTTTATATGTAGAAGTTTAGTTGCCTTGCATGTGCGCTGGTACCAGCATTTGTGTGGGAGTAGCTAATCCTCTTTCAAAAAAGAACTTCTTCAGGAAAAGCCCCACAAAGACACTTCATGAAAGAATGATTTATTTAGCTAAATGTCAGAACTAGAAAGAACAATAAACAACAGAGGAAGAGCTGTTTTCTGGAGATCCAGMAGACCTATTATTTTAAAAATATGTTGCAGGACTCTCAGGGGCAGCAATAGGACAGAAGAGCAGGTATACAGTTAGCTTGAGTAGACATACAGCAACTGCCTCTATTCAGCCAGGAAAAGCCTTCAGCTTTGGTGTACAATGTTTTTATCTTTCTCTGTGGTACRAGTTCCTCCGATGAGATTGGACTGCCCAGGGCACTGGTGGCTAACCTGTTGTTTCTAAACTGGCTTGCCAGTTTGCTGGTTCAAATATAGCCTAGGAAATTAAAGTCATGGCCTGTGTGAAATGAGCCAGCAATAGCCATCAATTACCTGGTAGAGAGGGCATCCCAGACGGCTTAAATCATGCCCTTGGCTGACAGCTGAGAAGTAAGGGAGAAAATGTTTTTGTGGACTGAGCTGTATTCTCCTCCTCAGGGAAAGAATCTTAGGTTTGAAGAATAACATGAAAATTTTGGGGCTTCTAGATTATCCCTTCTATTTATAAAGTTTAGCCTCTATTCAGCTATAAGAAATGAGCTCCATTTTGAAAGAGAAAACAAAGTGAAGCTGTAGGATTGCAGTGGAATATTAGGCAAAGCCTTGTAAGCATTCCTCAGTAAGATGGTAATAGTAACGCTGTAGCAACCTCTCTTCTCTCTCAAACCTATCAACCAGATTTGGGGAAAATTGCTCAAGGTACTAACTTGRTAGGTATGTACAGAAGCACAGCTTTTGAACATCATCAAGAAAAACAGGAGCCTAAAGGAACAATTAATTTCATTTGGGTACATTTAAAGCTAGATCCAGTGAAGAACTAGGGATGTGAATAGGTGATTTCCTGAYGCAAAATGAATTGCATCATTCCAGCTTAAAGTGCAGGCAGACAATGAGACTCTCCATGTGCTGACCCACACAGGCATGTGGCTCAATGCCTCTGCCCTGATGCACCGTGGAGAAGAATGAATGCAGGAATGACAATTCCAGTAGGCAGCAGAGCTCTGAATACACAGCTGCTACAACACCACAGTCTTTGACTTAGGTGGCTGTTAGCATCTCGACACCTTGATTAACCAAAAATCTGATTTCATCTAGAATTAAACCAACAAGTTCTTGTTGTTATGAAAACCTATTTTCCATAAAACCAAGTCTACTGGCACACAAATTTGCATTGCGTTTCCAGCTGCATGTAGTAAATTCAACATAATGATTTTTACCAAAGCATCTTAAYAGCTCTTGAAATATAAAAATCTTAAGAATTTAGGCAGTACTTGAWGTAGTTTCATTTTTGCTGAATACGAGGAGGAAAAAAATTACCAACTGAATGTGAAGATCTGCCTAAAGAGTTTTGAATGTGTGAATTCAGTTTGCCCCTAATCAACATGTTCTATTTAATGTATTTCAAAATGTTGGTGTTGCTTTCTTATGATTACGATTCTAGCAATAAACAGTGATTCTGTATATGTGACATCCAGCGGGAATGCAGGATTCAGMACAACGGTTCCCAAAGCAAAAACAAAGTAGCTAATACATACATATTTTATGGAGAAGATCATATTTGATTCTTGTATTGCATATAAATTTAAAGTAAGTATTTAAATCATTGTACTTACCATAGAAACATACAATAGCTTAAGTTGGAAGGGATCCTGAAAGATCACCTGGTCCAAACTTTTGTGGCCAAGGGAGCCTAGATTTTCTGGCATGCTGCCCTGTTGCATCTTGAAAATCTCCATCACACCCCAGGGAAAGCTSTTCCAGTCAATGATTGTTCTTAGTGTAAAAAAGTTATTTCTTCTATTTCTTCATCACAGTGTGTCAATACACCCATCTTTCTAATTCTTTCAGGTGACTAGAGAACATGTGACATATGTTTGGGCAGGTCTAGAGCCTGGAATCTGTGCAGGTCAGAGAGATGGCTGAATAGGACTTGTCATCCACACTTACTCCCTCTAAAGAGAAACAAAATTCTTAAGAAAGGGCTGAACAGATGCAGAGCCTATTCGCACAGTGGAGCAGTAAGGGCACTTTGTGCAAKACTGAGCCCACCTGAAACCTCAATCCAAGACTGTAGGATCCATGGGCTGCAATTACTGAGACATCTTATGTTTTAAAAAATCCAGAACAATTATTTTCTGCTTTTTCTCCTATTTTCCCCCATAATCAAATACTATAAATTTCTATTATACTTTATTAACAAACCAAAAAACATGGACAGGAGTTTCTCCAAAGTAAAACTTGGGAAACAAAACAATACGGCTTCAGTTTTAGGCCAAATACATAAAATACCTGGGAAGAGACTCAGATTTGTGCTGCATCTGAATGTACATGTCAGGTAACAGCACACAGAAATAACGGTAAGGATTATCAAAATGAGGCAACATTGGGACTGCATTCAGAGGAACAGTTTAGGGGACCAGTTAAACTCATTTAAGAACAACCACTGAAGTCATCTCAGGCACCTGATGCACAACGTATTTAGGCCAGCCTGTTGGAAAAACTGAGCTGAATCAGTTTTTGTGGGTGTTAAATCGCCTCTTGTATCAGGAGCCAGAAGGTTGATTGCAAAGCCTCACCTAACCCACAAAACTCCATCCTTCAAGGAAGAGTTAACTCAAACTGGACCGCTTTTCTCTGGGAAGCGCCGAACAACAAGCAAACGAGACGGGTCCCGATATCTCGGACACGAGGGCCTGACAAGGGGCCCGTGACCCCGGTCCGACAGCTGTGACTCTGCATTTCGCCACCCTCCGGCCCCTCCGATATCGGAGCAGGCACCGTCTTCCCCCGCGGCTGGACACCCGCCCGCCGGGCTGGGCGAGCGCTTCCTGGCGGCGCCGGGAGCTCTTGTCCCGAGCCCTCCAACAAACGGAGGATGCCGAGGTCAGCCCCGGCTCCCGACACGTTTCCTCCGGCAGGTCCGGGGGAGGTCCGTGGGAGCGGAGCCGGCGCTGGAGATCGACGGCTCGGGTGGCAGAGGCCAGCCCGAACCGGGGCCGAATGTCACCATAGCCGCCGGGGCAGCCCGCGCCCCTCGGCCGCCGCGTCCCCCCGCCAGCATGAGGCGGACCGGGCCCTGGTGCCTGCTCCTGGCCGCGGCCTGCGCCCTGGGCCGGACCCCGCCAGCCCCGCCGGCCGCCGTGCGCTGCCCGCCCGCCGGCGCCTGCTTCAGCGCCCACCTCGCCAACGTCTCGTACGCCGAGGCCCGCGGTGCCTGCGACCGGCGGCGGGGCGGCCTGGCCTGGGTCAGCGGYGAGCCGGAGCTGCGCCTGCTGCGGGGGCTGCTGGCAGAGGCGGCGGTGCCCGCGCCCGCGCTGTTCTGGGTCGGGCTGAAGAGGAACGCCTCCGCCTGCACCCACGAGGACCAGCCGCTCCGCGGCTTCTCCTGGGAGGCCGCCGGGGGTGGGACGGTCCCGCAGGAGGTGCCGCCGGCGCTCGGCCGGTGGGTGGAGGAGCCCCGGCGCTCCTGCCTCATCGCCCGCTGCGCCGGGCTGCACCTGGCGGCGGACACCGGGGACGGCCCCAGCTGGGGCTGGAAGGAGCAGGGCTGCCAGCGGCAGAGCCCGGGCTACCTCTGCAAGTATCAGTACGAGGGCGCCTGCCCCGACCTCAGTCCCGCGGGCGCCCTCGACCTCGACTACCGCCTCCCCTTCGAGGAGCGCAGCGGTGGCCCCGGCTTTAGCCCGCCGGGCACCGTGCTGACGGTCCGGTGTCCCGGCGGGGAGGTGCGGCTCACCTGCCAACCCGAGCCGGGCGGCTTCGCCTGGAAAGCGGCAGAGGAGCCCCTCTGCCCCTGCCGCTTCGGCCGCAGGAGCCCCGACAGCGGGCGGTGCRCCGAGGCCGCCGGGTGCCGCGATGCCGCCGGCGGCTTCGCCTGTGCCTGCACCCCGGGCGGCCCGGACGGGACTCCCTGCCCGGGCACGGGGCCGGCCCCCACCGCTGCAGGCAGCCCCACGGCGCCGTTGGATGCCAGGGCGGAGGGGCAGGGTCCCTCCATCCCGACACCCGGCGGTTCCGCGGAGCCACAGTCCGCCGCCACGGCCGCCGGCAGCGGTGAGAAGACGGCTGCTCCGCCGCCCACCTCCTCCTCCTCCTCTTCCAACTACGTTTTCATCCTGGTGACGGTCGCGGTGGTGGTGCTGGTCATCCTGGTCATGACCGTCCTGGGGGTCTTCAAAATCTGCTTCAACAAGAAATCCGAGGGCCGCGGGGACAAGGAGCCGGCAGAGGCCGGCAGCAAGGCGGAGGCAGGCACCGCGGAGCCCGGCGGAGCAGCGGGCGGTGACTAGCCCCGGAYGGCCGAGGCCGCGTCTCTCGGGGCTGCCCCGAGCGGCAGCTCCCAGCCCGGCCAGCTCTCGGGTCCCCACGTCCCTCCTGCCCCCAGCTCTGCTGCCGCGGGGAGCCGAGGGAGAGGCGCCGCGGGACATGGCTCGGCAGGGCTTGCACATGCTAGCTGCGGGAGCGCCTAGCGACGACCTTTTGAGGGGAATCTTTGGACAGTCATGAGTTTTTGTCGGACTGAAAAACAGTTATTTAGGTGCCGACTTCAGTAAAATATAAATAGATCAGCATGGCCGAGAGAGCGATTGCAGCTGCAGCAATTGTGCATTTTTGTCCTCTCAGAAAATGTTCGTGGGGTGCCTTACTTGGAGCAAACATGAAATGGACCACTGCGAGCACTTGCATCTTGTAATTTAGAAGTCCCTCCTTGTCTGAGTGGTACTTGGAGGCTCTCGTTTTCAATCTCATTGCTGGAATTCTCAGAGAGGTGAACTACCATGATTTTGGATGAAACTGTGACCCAAATGGTTTCATACTGACATTCTTAAAAAATGTAGGAACATTTCTATACTTAGTAAGTCATTAAACTGCTGAGGAAGTGAGAGGTTAATGGGGAGTCAGTTTTATACTTCAGCTCATGAAAATAATAAAGAATGATGTAAATCACTGTCCTGTTTGTTACTTCATACAATACTCATTTTTATTGTAGCAGAGAACAAACGTTTCAGTTATAGTTTTTCTCCCGAGGTGTGTTGGTACAAAACTTGCTTTCTGTATGCAATATGTGGCTCCCTTACAATCAGATAAGTTGCTGGCACACCACACTGCGAGAGGTGTTAACGTGAGTCCAAATACATCATGCAAATCTCATTCTCTTTAGTCAGATATATTGTTTTCCATGGGGTCCCTTGAGAATGAGGAAAGAAATATTCACCATTTGTGCCCTTTTCTAAATGAGGTAAACACTCCTCTGTGATTTCCCTTGGGAATTCCTGTAGAGGAGCTTTCATCCTGGCTGCAGAACTTGCTTTTTGAGCAGTTTGGAGTGCTGATGCTCACTTATTATGGTGTTGGTTTTCMATTAAAGTTGTAATATTAAATACTGATTCAAGGGTTTCTGAGTGCAGTTATACAAAACTAACTGGTCTCATCCAATCCTTTTGGGGTTCAGGGAGAGTAGGGAAGTGTTTTCTTCCCTTAAGAGAATTTTAAGATCTGAAATGTCTCTTTAAATATGCATGTTTGTTTGTTTGTTTTCCTCTCTTGAGAGATGACATTCTGACTACTGCTTTAATTTTGACACTTTCCTGTTGAGTTTGGAGAACTCAGTTTGAAAAAATAATGTGTATTATTATTACCTCTTTTTCTTGCAAGGAAAGACTTGATGATAAATATGGTGTAAACATCTGCTAAGGACAAAGAATTATGTAGTACGAGGTTTTTTCTTTTTCCGTTTCTCTCCTTTTTATAGTGATAGGCAGTTGCTACCTGGGAAACGGTCTTTTGCTTTTGGTGAGGAGGTCACTGGCGTTTGTGAGCCATCAGACTGTCTATAGCCATAGATTCCATTGTATCATGACAGGAATCAAATCCAGCTAGGTGTGAATGCTACTCATTTCAAGGTGACTCATAATCTGCATACTTTTCTAATCTGGTGATCTGACATTTGTATTTCAGAAGGCATGCATTTTTCATCTTGGACAGGAGGCTTGATTCTACATTCAGATGTGCACAGATTTGGAAAATGACTTAGCCATTAATGCCTTATTTCTTARTAACATTCCTGTTGCTGTCACTAATTTCTTTTATGGGGCAGTGTGTGTGGAGCTCTCTTCTTCYACAAGGGGCTGTATAAGCAAATAGCAACTAAGATGAAGGAGAGCCTCCCAAAATTATTGTTTCTATGTTTCAGTCTTTCCCACCTATCAGGTAGCTGAACTCTTAGTGGGACTGCCCAGGTGTAATTTTCTCATTTTGTGTTTCAGGAATCTTACCAAGCACACAGTTTAGTGCTGAGTTAAGGGCCTGACTACTTATTTTGGCATCCCTCAGTATGTGACTCAGACTATTTAATTAAAATATACAAGTTCATGCCCTTTCAAGCTATTCACCTGTCTCATTATTCCCATTTTGCTCTTCCTGTGAAATCATGTTTTGATTTGAGAGTTCTTTTTCTCACACAATTCAGGATTAAGCATTAGACATTTGTCTTAGAGGACTACACGATGGTTCTCCTATGTTCCCCTGGTTTATAATTTGACTAATCTGAAACCAGACTATTTTGCATCTAAGAATGGGATCCATTTCTCCAGGTGTAGACATCTCTAAGAGTTCATCTAGATTTTTACTCATCTAGAGTCCCTTACTGCCTATAGAGAGAAATGTGTGTTTGCAATTAATGTCATTCTGGACTATATGCTGAAAACAGGACCAGTGAATTACATCCTGAAAATGCCATTTCTCTGCATTGACAGTAAAAAAGGCATATGGAGGCTACTCATATTTAAATGCCTGTAAAATACACTTCGAAAATTAAACCAGAAAGATCACCTCACTTMTGTCTCCAGCTGTTCAAGTTACTTTTCTAAAAGCAAGCTCATGGTGCCTTCTGTCTCTTCTGRCTAAATGGTCTTAATTTTATGATTGCTTTTATTGCTTTTACATGTTAGAGATTATTGTTTAGAATATTTGGGGTTCTTTATCTTATTTTTTGCAGTTAGTAAAATACCAAACAAATAGCATTTGGATTTGTCTGGAACCTGAGCAGGTTTTAAATTAATGAATTTCTTATGTAACACCACATATAAAACACACAATCAAATGCAAGTATTTTTCCAGAACATAGCAGAGATGGAGACAAATCTTGTCTTTTGCCTCATGTTGCATCCATGTTCTTTGACTAAGCTTTATGTAAGTGTATTATATTCCAACTTTTTTTCAAGTACAGGAAAAAATATTATTTCATCCTATAGTAAAGCCGTATAAATCCCATATAAACTTTGTGAGTTTTACAATCCTTACATTTGCAATGAAATGGTGATAGCAAGAGTCTACATTTTAAAATGGTAATGGCAAAGAATAGGAATGTCCGGATCTTGTTTATTACAGCTATCCAAATTGTCCCATGTTGCCAATTTTAGATTTCTTTAATTCCTGCAAAGATAGCTTGATTGGTAGGCATATAATTTGTCACCTGCACATTTTATTTATGAGCAAGTGATTAATTTTTAATGGTTTGTTTCATCAAATAATTGGAAATTAAATTTTAATTTCCACTTTTTTTTTTAGTAATGATTTGTGTTGCTGAGGGCTTAATTAAGCATGGTCTGTGGGATTGGGAGTGAAATCTGTAAGTGGACGTGCAAAAAATTTGAGTACTTCTGACAACATTACTCCTTGTTTAAGAGTATTATGTAGCTTAAAGAATATAAAAAAAAATTAATTGATTCTGTGCTTCACCTAGGAATTTCTTATCACCTATTTTTTTCATGTTTTAAATCCCAGTTATATTGCCTCATTTATTACATGGAGGTGAATCACGGGTAGATGCAATGTAGTTCTTTCTAGAAATAATACTTTGTATTTCTTCAGTATGTGAACATTTACCAAGGCTGTAGTGTGGCGATTCATGTATTTCACTAAAGATACATAACTGATTCAAAAGGCAAACACAGCAGGGCAGCAGCAGCAGCAGTAACCACATTCCCAGGGCTTCAAAACAGGTTAAACTTGTGTTTTCTTCCTSCCCCAATATGCAGCCTTGCCTTTCTGTTCTGGGCTTGTAGTCTGGGACTGGAAGATTTGAAAGTAGATGTGTAAAGGGGGTCATCTTGACAAACAAGTCTTTTCCCTGTTCTGTATTGCTTCTAGAATCTCGGAGTGATGGAATGCTTTGGGATGGAAGGGACCTTAAAGATCATTTAGCTCCAGCCCCGCTGCTGTGTGCAGGGACACCTACTAGTYCAGGTTGCCCAGAGCCCCATCCAGCCTGCATGGAACACTTTAGGGATGGGRCATCCATAACTTTGCTGGGCAAACTGGTCCAGTGTCTCACCATCCTCACAGCAAAGAATTTCTTCCTCGTACTTAATCCACACCTACCCTGTTTGTCTGAAGCCATTCCCCTTTGGCCTGTCACCACATGCCCTAGGAAAATCTTTCTCTCCAACACTCTTGTAGGTACTGGAAGGCTGTTTGTAGATAATGAAAGCCTTCTCTTTTCCAGACTCAACAGGTCCCATCCTGTCTTCATAGGAGAGGTGCTCYGACCCTCTGATCATCTTAGTGGCCTCTTCTGGCCTCCAACGTGTCCACATTGTCCTTATGTTGGGAGCCCCAGAGCAGAACACAGTACTGCAGGTGGAGTGGAAGCAGCAGAGGAGCTGAGGAAGGCAGAGATGTGGTGGGGGACCTACATTTGTTACATCCTTTTCCTCCTCCCACTTGCCAATCWTTTTGCATTCCGAGTCAAAAAATTGGGAAAGAACTACTATTATGTATTTTATTGGTAATATAAAAGAAATAAGATTACAGGTCCAGGGAGAGGATGAGCAGAGAAGGGAAAAAAGAGAGAGAGAAAAGCGTCCACCATCCTCTTGCTGCATATTTTTTCAGGTGTTACTCAAAATGTCGTGGTTTGAAAGCAAATAAACATTTTCAGTCATGAAGCCAGGAATAGCACATGGGCTATAACCTGTCAGAAAAGCATGGTTTTGTTTTTGGAATGTAACCAGCAGGCCTTGTGTTTTGGACTGATAAGAATGATTTACACTGTTCCTTGGAACATAACATAAGAGTATGAGTACAGATAGTTTGAGTGAGATTATAAGTGATCCAAGTCTGTAATGTCTGTGGATGAGATGWGTGGACATTGCTTTTCATTCTTAAGACTATATCTTTCTCTTATGGAAAGGAGTTTTCCCACTCATTGTACTGAAGATTCTTTTAAAGTAAGAAATTCTGTAATTTTTTTTTGTTTATGACAGTGAAAGAGCAGTGAAAATTCTTCTGTATTCCACTTCTGTCTTGTCAATATGGAGTTCTTCTTGGTTTGTGTTGAGCAAAAGTTTATTAGGTATTTTTCTCTATTTTAATGATAAAAGGAAAAAAAATCTGTGAAATTCAAAGCATCTGAAAAACCCAAAATAAATTAACATTCAGAAAAATATATTATCTATCTGTTTCTACCTTGTTTTCCCGAGTTTCTAATAATTCTGTAAAGTATCTATGTTATCATTTGGTCCTTAGAAAAAATGCCAAGRCACTTTCTAATCTTCAAAAATAACAGCCAGCTTTGAAAATAGCAGYTGACATAAAAAGCAGACCTTCATATTTTTTGTAGAGTTGGAAGTTTATGTATTTGCTGTACCCTAAACAATGAAAGTTAATTATGTGAAAGAGCCAACTCCTGCTTTACAATGCCTGTACAGGACTCTACTAATTTTCCTCTCTTCTTAACAATATGGCCTCTACTGGCCATCACATACTTGATTTTTCTCCATTTCCGATTTCCTCTATCTCAGGCTGCTCAGTATCAAATATCCACCAGTTTTGCCTTGTTTCATATCCATTCTCTCCCAAATATCCAGATTTGACATGTTTTGGATCACTACAGTTGATCGGAGCAACCCTGAGGCATATTACACAGTGTTAGAACCTATATAGAAA